GGGTAAAGTGGGGTAAGTGGGACACTGGGGTAAGTGGGACAAGTCTAGGTTTTCTCCTCATTATATCCTTTGTGAATAAAACTTCACTGGAGTAAAGTTTTTTTCTTGTTCGAACAAACATAATTCATCAACGTGGCAAATTTCAATCCTTCAAGTGAGACTATTCCCCCTAAAAAAGTGATTTTCTCGGAACACCTCTTGTGCCCTCGTACCCAGCCTTCATATTACTAATTTTTTTGTTTTAGTGAACAAAAGAGGTTAAGGTGTAGCTCCTTTTTGGGGAGGAAAAGAGTGATTTCCAGCCGAATTCCAGGTCGATTTTGTCGGGAACACATTCTGTAAGAGGTAGGTATTAACCAGTTGCGTTATTTGTATTATGAGATTCTTGTGATTTTTTTTTTTCGATTTTTAAAAATTTTGCCAAGCATAATGTGCCTTGATTGTTTCAGTGTTCGACATTCATTACTGTGGAACTGGATTGCTGAATGTTATGATAGTGTTTTTTCAATTTTTAGTCGTAAAACAAATAGGATTATTTAGCAAACAATGTTTATCTGTAACTTTATCTTTAAATTACATATTACAGTGCTTTTCAAGACATATAAATGTTTTCTTCATTAGAAAAAGGATGAATAATTAGCGGACTGAATGCAAGGTTTGTGTTGTAATGGCGGCCATTTTGAATTCTTGGCACATGCATGATGGACATATATTTCAATATTGTATTTAATGAAATTTTTTTGATACTTGGTGTAAAATGGATAGTGCACTGTGTTTGGGGGGTTGTCGATTTCATGATAATCTTTTTGGAAGTAAGCTTATATATCCAGTTATGAAGAAATATGCATATTTTCCATGTGTCCCACTTACCCCATTGGTTTGGGGTAAGTGGGACAGCTTGGAATTAGCATCATGTGCACCGTGGCTGTGCACGTGTTGGTGATAAATATTTAGCTATGCTCAACTATTTTCAAAGTTGCTTGTCACTTATATGATTATAAACTCTGATAAGTTTATTTCAGAGTACTTGTGCTATTTAAATGAAATTATATTTCATTTAACTGTTGTTTGTTACAGACCAGCACAAATGGCTCGGAAGAAAAAATCATGGACACCGAAGCAAGGGAAGTGGCAGTCCAATGCAATGGCCAGTGCATATACAGCAGTAACTGAAGGGAGACTAGGCATCAGAGAGGCGGCTAAACAGTATGGAGTACCCAAATCAACACTGTCAAGAAGGATCCGCAAGGGGATACCGAGTTCCTTGCCGGCTACAAGACCACCTGTATTCAGCATGGCTGATGAGGATGAACTTGTACGCCACCTCAAAGATCTTGAAAGCCAAGGCTTCGGCATTGGACTGCAGGCTGTGTGCAAGCTTGCGTATGAGATGGCAGAGCATGCTGGTATAAAGCATAGATTCAGTCATGTCAAGAAGGGTGCCAGATATGATTGGTATAGAGGCTTTATGGAACGTCATCCTGACTTGTCGCTGAGAAAGCCAAAAGGTTTTTCAGCAGCAAAAGATCAATACTGAACCCGACGACCATCGCCGATCATTTCAAAAGATTAGGCGATGTCATGGATTGTGCTAAACTGAAGTCCAGTCCGGCTCAGATACATAATCTTGATGAAACCGGTTTGAGCTTAGTGCACACCCCTTCAAGCATCATAGCTGCTAGGGGGAAGAAAACAGTGCAGTCTCGCACAAGTGGGGAACGAGGGGAGAATGTAACTGTCCTGATATGCGCTAGTGCCAGTGGCTCGGTACTTCCTCCTTTCATCATTTTCAAGGGTCAGCGTCTCAATGTAGGCTTGACTGCTAATGCACCACCAGGAACCCTGTTCGGAACAAGTAAGTCTGGCTTCATTGATGCGGAGCTGTTTGGCACATGGTTCACAAAGCTCTTCTTGCCATCAATACCTCCCACACGCCCAGTTCTTCTAATTCTCGATGGGCATGCATCCCACATTAACATTGAAACTCTCAGGTGTGCCCGTGAGAACTCTATCCACATGTATTGCTTACCACCCCACACCACAAATCACACTCAGCCATTGGACAAGTCTGTTTTCAAGTCTGTGAAAACTGCCTACAACCAGCGATGTGACAAATTCATGCGCGACAACCCGAACCGGATCATCACCAGATACGACTTCAGTGGTCTGTTCACAGATGTATACCACAAAGTGTTTACCATGGCCAACATCATCAGCGGATTCAAGTCAACAGGCATTTATCCATATAATCCTAATGCCATTACTCCCGAGCACCTTCAGTTCTCTGCAGTGGAGACAGAGATAACATACCAAGCTGCTGAAGTTCCAGGTCCACCTACCAATGATGACGGAGTTGTCACCATGCCTGTTGTCCTTGAATTCAATGCAGAAGTGCATGTGAATCCTACTGACACAGAGCAGGAGGAAGTCATCTTAAAGAAACCTACTGCTACAGAAGATGCTGCTGACCAGGAAACGCCATCACTGGAATCTGACGATGAACCTGAGCCCATGGATATTGAACCAGGACCCACCTCTCCACATGCAGTCTCCCCTCCTACTGCAGTGTCCTCTCCAGGTACAGTCTCCCCAGCTGCAAGTCAAAACACAAGTAAGTTTTCGGCTGTGCTTAAGAAACCTGTAGTGTCAAAAGTGATAAAACCTGGCAGACAAACCAACCGCATCACTGAGGCACGATGCCTGACCTCTGATGAGGTGTTCCACCGGGAACTTGAAAAACAGAAAAAGAAGGAAACAGAGGCTGCGGCAAAAGAGGCCAGAAAACTGGAGCGAGAACACAAGAAAGAGCAACGTGAGAAGGAGAAACAAGAAAAGGAACAAAGACTGGAGGAAAGGAAACGGAAAAGATCGGAGGCGCTGGAAAAGAAGCAAGCGAAGATTGCTAAGCAAGCAAAAGGAAAAGAGGCCCTCAGTTCAGTGTGTGACCCCGAGAATGGGGAAAACTACTGTAGTCACTGTGGGGGATTTTATGGGGATGATGACGACACAGACAGAGAAGACTGGTGGCAGTGCATTGACTGCAATGACTGGTATCATGAATCCTGCACAGGACTGTTTGGCCGCCCCAGTGAACTAATTAAGTTTATTTGCAAGAAGTGTGACAAGTAAACGTGCATCAAGTAACATCTAAAATGTACTCAGCATATCTGGTTATTTTTTTTCACTTAGACAATATAATATGGTGCCCATAAAAGCATTTACATGTACTTGGTAAGAACATGCATGATGCAAAAATTCATCATGAACAAGTTGGACAGGAAAGAGACAAATCTGAAAGAGATTGTAAAATGCAGGTTATGAAAGGTTTCAAACAATCAAACTGAAAACAAATGCCAAATTGTCGCCAGCCCACCTCAAACAGTACATATTTGAGTTAGGCAATTACAACAGCAAAAGAATAGGTCTTGAGGTTTTTGTTGAAATTCACTCTAAAAGGAATCTTTTTGTTCTACAAACATGTACTGTACACTGATTTTAGGCATGATGGATGCATCCAAAACACACGTAATTAATTCAATGTACATTTGTAATTTCGTGTTTACTTTGAATGACAATGTTGTCAAACAGGGTGGATTAGTTCCTTTTAATAGAAGGGCATCAGTTCTTGAAAAAATGTGTTTTGCCATGTATATTGCGTATTTTGAGTGTGTCCCACTTACCCCATATGACTGTCCCACTTACCCCATACGTAGAGAAAAATCCGACATTTCAGTCCTGTCATATTTTCCCCCATTTTTCCAAAAATAATGCAGCTAGTGCACCAAAATGATTATTGTGTACAAAAAAGACGGTAACAATGTAAAAAAGTATTACTTTTAGTAAATCTAATCTCTTATTTTAGTGCAGCACCCCAAAATGTGCTTAAGTGTCCCACTTACCCCACTTTACCCTATC